CATACAAATAAAGATACGTGTACGGAATAAAAAAGAAAAACAAACCAGATCCTTTCTATGAACATAGAATTATTTCATAAATGGAACTGGTTGATGTAAAAGCTTATTTGCATTTTTTCATGGTAAGATTTATTTGTCCTCTACTAATACAATTAAAATTCTGTGAGAGTATTAAAAGAAAAACAATATGAATATAAATATCTGCCAGGCTTGATGTTCTAACAGAACACAACACAACACACGTTATGTTATATAACACAAGATATGTTACGTTATATAACACATATGTTATGTTATGTTATATAACACACATTATATGTGATGTTATATAACACACATGACATCTTATGTTATATAACACATCTTATATTATGTTATATAACACATGATATGCTATGTTATATAACACATGTTATGTTATGTTATGTTATATAACACATGTTAACTTATAAAATATAACACACATTATGTTATAAAACACATGATTATGTTATGTTATATAACACATGATATGTTATGTTATATAATGTTATAAAACACATGTCATGTTATGTTATATAGCACATGATTATGTTATGTTATATAACACATGTTATGTTATATAACACACGTTATGTTATATGTTATGAAACACATGTCATGTTATGTTATATAACACATGATATATTATGTTATATACCAGATGATATGTTATGTTATATAACACACGTTATGTTATATGACACATGTTATGTTATATAACAAATGATTATGTTACATAACACACATGAAGTTATCTTATAAAACACGATATGTTATGTTATATAACACGTGGTATGTTATGTTATATAACACATGATATGTGTTATATAACACATGTTATTTTATAAAATATAACAAACATTATGTTATATCACAGATGTTATGTCATATAACACATGATATGTATGTTATATAACACACGTTATGTTATGTTATATAACACATGTTATGTTATAAAATATAACACACATTATGTTATCTTATAAAACACATGATATGTTATGTTATATAACACATGATATGTTATATAACACATGATTATGTTATGTTATATTACACACATTATATGTCATGTTATGTTATATAACACACGTTATGTTATATCACAGATGTTATGTTATATAACACATGATTATGTTATGTTATATAACACACATGATGTTATGTTATAAAACACATGATAATGTTATGTTATATAACAGATGATATGTTATGTTATATAACACACGTTATGTTATGTTATATAACACATGTTATGTTATATTATATAACACATGAGATGTATGTTATATAACACGTTATGTTATGTTATGTCATATAACACACATTATGTTATTTTATAAAACTCATGATATGTTATGTTATATAACACATGTTATGTTATAAAATATAACACATGTTATCTTATAAAACACATTTGTTATGTTATATAGCACATGATATGTTATTTTATATAACAGATGATATGTTATGTTATATAACAGATGATATGTTAGGTTATGTAACACACGTTATGTTATGTCATATAACACATGATTATGCTATGTTATATAACACACGTTATATAACACATAATATGTTATGTTGTATAACACATGTTATGTTATATAACACGATGTTATATTATATAACACATGTTATGTTATATAACACAATATGTTATGTCATATAACACATGATATGTATGTTATATAACACACGTTATGTTATGTTATATAACACATGATTATGTTATGTTATATAACACATTATGTTATGTTATATAACACATGATTATGTTTTGTTATATAACACATGTTATGTTATATTACACACATTATATGTCATGTTATGTTATATAACACATGATATGTATGTTATATAACACACGTTATTTTATGTTATATCACAGATGTTATGTCATATAACACATGATATGTATGTTATATAACACACGTTATGTTATGTTATATAACACATGTTATGTTATAAAATATAACACACATTATGTTATCTTATAAAACACATGATATGTTATGTTATATAACACATGATTATGTTATGTTATATTACACACATTATATGTCATGTTATGTTATATCACAGATGTTATGTTATATAACACATGATTATGTTATGTTATATAACACACATGATGTTATGTTATAAAACACATGATAATGTTATGTTATATAACAGATGATATGTTATGTTATATAAATAACGTTATGTTATGTTATATAACACATGTTATATTATATAACACATGAGATGTATGTTATATAACACGTTATGTTATGTTATGTCATATAACACATGTTATGTTATGTTACATAACACATGATATGTTATGTTATATAACACATGATATGTTATGTTATATAACATATGTTATGTTATGTTATGACATCTAAATGGTATTTCATTTTAATGCAATTGTGAAAATTCCGTTTTATGTGCTTTGGGTGAGAAATATAAAATTGCACTTATTCAGTAAGCA